ACCTCATCCGGAAAAGGTTCATAGCTGTGGTGAAAATCTTCTATTCCAGTGGTGGCCAAAGCTTTTTGATATTCGCACCAAGACTCAGCGCCGGCAGGACATTTATGATGCTGTGGATCGTCGTTCGTGGACTTGTAATGAAGAAAGGTCGCCCAAATCGCATCATTAATTTTTTTCACCGAATCACAATTTCTTCTGATTGCTAAGCCATAATATACCGTTAATTTGTCTATTGTTTTTCCAGTAAGTTTTCCTGTTCCGCCGAGACTTTTGCTCCTTCTTTTTTGACCAGCTTTTTTTCCTGTTTTTATTTCCTTCTCTACTGTTGTGTTTTTAACAACATCACGTAATCGTTTGCCCATTCTTTTTTGAACGTGGCCGACACATTCTTTTTTATGTATTATAAAATATTCGCCGTGGGGTTGAGATTGAACTACGCCGGTGTACGTCTTGCTATCTCCGTCTCCGACATAATATTTATACGTGACGCCGTACTTTTCTTCCGATCGTTGGAACATTTCTTTTATTGCTGAAACTTCCATATTTCCTGCAGGTCCCTCGTGATTTGCTTCACATTCACCAAGTTCTACGTGATTCTCGTGCCATTCTTCGAATTCCACTGAATTTAATTTTGTATCCCAAATTTTACACGTTTGACAGACCCCACTTTTCACGCAAATATCTATCACTTTTCCCGTGTAATATCCAATTAACGAAGAAACACCGTACAATGACGAAAAACCTCGCTTTTGCCACGTGCCATCACCGGAAACAGTCAAATTTTCAGTATTTTCTATTTCTTGTGCTTCGCACGTTTCTTCTTTTTCTTGTGCAGCAGCCATGGAATACAGTGATTTTGCGACGGATTTTATTTGATCACACATGTTTTTTAAATAAAAACAAGGAAGAACGCTATAGTCGAGTACCTCGACTATCAGATACCCGTTACTCAGCTAAATAGAGATATGCAAGTAGCAAAGCGAGATTAAAATGCGCCACCTACCGGCGGTATACAGATTTAAGCGTTATGGGCGTTAGAGTGGGCGTGTCAAATTTTTTTTTGGATCAATCGATAGGTAATGACGAGACGAATACATTTCAGTTAAAATTTTTTATCTAGCATAAAAATTGTGGGCGTCACAGGTTTTCGCGGTTTGTGGGCGTTAAAGTGGGCGTGGCAAACTTTTTTTTAGGACAATCGATAGGTATTGATGAGAACATTACATTTCAGTTAAAATTTGTATTCTAGCATCAAAACTGTAGGAGCCACAGTTTTGGGCGGTTTGTGGGCGTTAGAGTGGGCGTGGCAGTCTACTGAAACAAACTTGCGCTGCGTAAGAAGCTCAGGAATCTTTACGCCAAATCTCAATAGCCTAGCTCTCATAGTTTCCGAGATCTCAGCGTTCATCCGGACAGACAGACGGACAGACGGACATGGCTAGATCGACTCGGCTAGTGATCCTGATCAAGAATATATATACTTTATGGGGTCGGAAACGCTTCCTTCTGCCTGTTACATACTTTCCGACGAATCTAGAATACCCTTTTACTCTACGAGTAACGGGTATAATTATACACTGCTTTACTTACAAAATTACTTGATATATCCATCAATCCGCAAAATTTTTTGCAGCCTGCCAAGCTTAAGCCTAACATACGCATAACGAAAGCAAATCTATAATTTACCTCGTACATACGGCCTATTCTTAAACTTGACGGAATATACACAGGCATTTTGCAGTTGTCACATTTTACTTGAATGTTAAGGGGGGGGGTATGGTATAACAGGCGAAAAAAGAGCACTTTTTAAACAATTTTTTTTTAGGAAACTACTAAATATTTTTCAATTCTTTTTATTTTTACATTATCTAGTAACTTTTGAAGTATTTTTAAGAATTTAAAAATATATATATATCCAGAAATAACGGAGTTGCTGCTGCTTCAGTCAGGCCATGTCAAGAGTTCATCCTTTTACGGTGCCCCGGATTAAAAATCGTAGAATCATCTGAAACACATGGGATTCAAAAAAATTAGTTATTTAGAAGTATACCAGCCAGCCAACGATGCCCTTTCATTAAAAAAAATTTTTTAAATTTTTTTTACGGGCGGTTAAGGTAAAAGTACGTTTTTTAGCCTAAAAAAGGCGCCATTTTGTCGTTGTACAATCGATTAGAAGCAAAAAATAAATAAAAGGGGATCGTTGGCTGGTAGTCAAATATATATTTAATGAAGTGTATTAAACTTCAAACCGATCGGTGCAGAATTTTTTGAGTTATCGTGGGCACCGTCTTCAAAAAAGTCGTTTTGAGAAAAACGCGTTTAAAGTTTGTAGTAAGGAAATTTGAAGAATAAAAATTGTTTCATGGCACTTACATAGAGTCGTCGATGCCAGCACCATAAAGCAATGTTCCTGCTGCATCTGCGAGATCTAAAGCATCTTTTTGCTCCATTCTTCTCAGAATTCTAGCTTCTTTTGTCTGAAGCGCAGCCTTTTCTTCAGCTTTCAAAATTCGAGATTCGTCGAATGTTTTTACATATTCATGAGCACTTGGGCCGACGTTGATTTTCATCTCTTCAAGAAATGCTAGCAATGCAATATAACCTTCATTGAACATACGCATAACGAAAGCAAATCTATAATTTACCTCGTACATACGGCCTATTCTTAAACTTGACGGAATATACACAGGCATTTTGCAGTTGTCACATTTTACTTGAATGTTAAGGGGGGGGTATGGTATAACAGGCGAAAAAAGAGCACTTTTTAAACAATTTTTTTTTAGGAAACTACTAAATATTTTTCAATTCTTTTTATTTTTACATTATCTAGTAACTTTTGAAGTATTTTTAAGAATTTAAAAATATATATATATCGAGAAATAACGGAGTTGCTGCTGCTTCAGTCAGGCCATGTCAAGAGTTCATCCTTTTACGGTGCCCCGGATTAAAAATCGTAGAATCATCTGAAACACATGGGATTAAAAAAAATTAGTTATTTAGAAGTATACCTGCCAGCCAACGATGCCCTTTCATTAAAAAAATTTTTTTTAATTTTTTTACGGGCGGTTAAGGTAAAAGTACGTTTTTTAGCCTAAAAAAGGCGCCATTTTGTCGTTGTACAATCGATTAGAAGCAAAAAATAAATAAAAGGGGATCGTTGGCTGGTAGTCAAATATATATTTAATGAAGTGTATTAAACTTCAAACCGATCGGTGCAGAATTTTTTGAGTTATCGTGGGCACCGTCTTCAAAAAAGTCGTTTTGAGAAAAACGCGTTTAAAGTTTGTAGTAAGGAAATTTGAAGAATAAAAATTGTTTCATGGCACTTACATAAAGTCGTCGATGCCAGCACCATAAAGCAATGTTCCTGCTGCATCTGCGAGATCTAAAGCATCTTTTTGCTCCCTTCTTCTCAGAATTCTAGCTTCTTTTGTCTGAAGCGCAGCCTTTTCTTCAGCTTTCAAAATTGGAGATTCGTCGAATGTTTTTACATATTCATGAGCACTTGGGCCGACGTTGATTTTCATCTCTTCAAGAAATGTTAGCAATGCAATATAACCTTCATTGAAGGTGCAAGCAGCTGCATTTGCTGCAATTTCTATTATCGTAGGGCTGCTGGCTAAAACTTTTGGACTAATTCTCCAAATAAGTTGATTAAGGCTTTCATTGTTGTTCTGGGTAAATCCACCAAGACAACGTTGTAGAAGCTCGTCTTTGCTCAAATCTTCATAAATTGGCTCGATTGCTGTTATCACCTCATCCGGAAAAGGTTCATAGCTGTGGTGAAAATCTTCTATTCCAGTGGTGGCCAAAGCTTTTTGATATTCGCACCAAGACTCAGCGCCGGCAGGACATTTATGATGCTGTGGATCGTCGTTCGTGGACTTGTAATGAAGAAAGGTCGCCCAAATCGCATCATTCATTTTTTTCACCGAATCACAATTTCTTCTGATTGCTAAGCCATAATATACCGTTAATTTGTCTATTGTTTTTCCAGTAAGTTTTCCTTTTCCGCCGAGACTTTTGCTCCTTCTTTTTTGACCAGCTTTTTTTCCTGTTTTTATTTCCTTCTCTATTGTTGTGTTTTTAACAACATCACGTAATCGTTTGCCCATTCTTTTTTGAACGTGACACATTCTTTTTTATGTATTATAAAATCTTCGCCGTATGGTTGAGATTGAACTACGCCGGTGTACGTCTTGCTATCTCCGTCTCCGACATAATATTTATACTTGACGCCGTACTTTTCTTCCGATCGTTGGAACATTTCTTTTATTGCTGAAACTTCCATATTTCCTGCAGGTCCCTCGTGATTTGCTTCACATTCACCAAGTTCTACGTGATTCTCGTGCCATTCTTTGAATTCCACTGAATTTAATTTTGTATCCCAAATTTTACACGTTTGACAGACCCCACTTTTCACGCAAATATATATCACTTTTCCCGTGTAATATCCAATTAACGAAGAAACACCGTACAATGACGAAAAACCTCGCTTTTGCCACGTGCCATCACCGGAAACAGTCAAATTTTCAGTATTTTCTATTTCTTGTGCTTCGCACGTTTCTTCTTTTTCTTGTGCAGCAGCCATGGAATACAGTGATTTTGCGACGGATTTTATTTGATCACACATGTTTTTTAAATAAAAATTATACACTGCTTTACTTACAAAATTACTTGATATATCCATCAATCCGCAAAATTTATTGCAGCCTGCCAAGCCTAAGCCTAACATACGCATAACGAAAGCAAATCTATAATTTACCTCGTACATACGGCCTATTCTTTCACTTGACGGAATATACACAGGCATTTTGCAGTTGTCACATTTTACTTGAATGTTAAGGGGGGGGTATGGTATAACAGGCGAAAAAAGAGCACTTTTTAAACAATTTTTTTTTAGGAAACTACTAAATATTTTTCAATTCTTTTTATTTTTACATTATCTAGTAACTTTTGAAGTATTTTTAAGAATTTAAAAATATATATATATCCAGAAATAACGGAGTTGCTGCTGCTTCAGTCAGGCCATGTCAAGAGTTCATCCTTTTACGGTGCCCCGGATTAAAAATCGTAGAATCATCTGAAACACATGGGATTAAAAAAAATTAGTTATTTAGAAGTATACCAGCCAGCCAACGATGCCCTTTCATTAAAAAAAATTTTTTAAATTTTTTTTACGGGCGGTTAAGGTAAAAGTACGTTTTTTAGCCTAAAAGAGGCGCCATTTTGTCGTTGTACAATCGATTAGAAGCAAAAAATAAATAAAAGGGGATCGTTGGCTGGTAGTCAAATATATATTTAATGAAGTGTATTAAACTTCAAACCGATCGGTGCAGAATTTTTTGAGTTATCGTGGGCACCGTCTTCAAAAAAGTCGTTTTGAGAAAAACGCGTTTAAAGTTTGTAGTAAGGAAATTTGAAGAATAAAAATTGTTTCATGGCACTTACATAGAGTCGTCGATGCCAGCACCATAAAGCAATGTTCCTGCTGCATCTGCGAGATCTAAAGCATCTTTTTGCTCCATTCTTCTCAGAATTCTAGCTTCTTTTGTCTGAAGCGCAGCCTTTTCTTCAGCTTTCAAAATTCGAGATTCGTCGAATGTTTTTACATATTCATGAGCACTTGGGCCGACGTTGATTTTCATCTCTTCAAGAAATGCTAGCAATGCAATATAACCTTCATTGAAGGTGCAAGCAGCTGCATTTGCTGCAATTTCTATTATCGTAGGGCTGCTGGCTAAAACTTTTGGGCTAATTCTCCAAATAAGTTGATTAAGGCTTTCATTGTTGTTCTGGGTAAATCCACCAAGACAACGTTGTAGAAGCTCGTCTTTGCTCAAATCTTCATAAATTGGCTCGATTGCTGTTATCACCTCATCCGGAAAAGGTTCATAGCTGTGGTGAAAATCTTCTATTCCAGTGGTGGCCAAAGCTTTTTGATATTCGCACCAAGACTCAGCGCCGGCAGGACATTTATGATGCTGTGGATCGTCGTTCGTGGACTTGTAATGAAGAAAGGTCGCCCAAATCGCATCATTCATTTTTTTCACCGAATCACAATTTCTTCTGATTGCTAAGCCATAATATACCGTTAATTTGTCTATTGTTTTTCCAGTAAGTTTTCCTTTTCCGCCGAGACTTTTGCTCCTTCTTTTTTGACCAGCTTTTTTTCCTGTTTTTATTTCCTTCTCTATTGTTGTGTTTTTAACAACATCACGTAATCGTTTGCCCATTCTTTTTTGAACGTGACACATTCTTTTTTATGTATTATAAAATCTTCGCCGTATGGTTGAGATTGAACTACGCCGGTGTACGTCTTGCTATCTCCGTCTCCGACATAATATTTATACTTGACGCCGTACTTTTCTTCCGATCGTTGGAACATTTCTTTTATTGCTGAAACTTCCATATTTCCTGCAGGTCCCTCGTGATTTGCTTCACATTCACCAAGTTCTACGTGATTCTCGTGCCATTCTTTGAATTCCACTGAATTTAATTTTGTATCCCAAATTTTACACGTTTGACAGACCCCACTTTTCACGCAAATATATATCACTTTTCCCGTGTAATATCCAATTAACGAAGAAACACCGTACAATGACGAAAAACCTCGCTTTTGCCACGTGCCATCACCGGAAACAGTCAAATTTTCAGTATTTTCTATTTCTTGTGCTTCGCACGTTTCTTCTTTTTCTTGTGCAGCAGCCATGGAATACAGTGATTTTGCGACGGATTTTATTTGATCACACATGTTTTTTAAATAAAAATTATACACTGCTTTACTTACAAAATTACTTGATATATCCATCAATCCGCAAAATTTATTGCAGCCTGCCAAGCCTAAGCCTAACATACGCATAACGAAAGCAAATCTATAATTTACCTCGTACATACGGCCTATTCTTTCACTTGACGGAATATACACAGGCATTTTGCAGTTGTCACATTTTACTTGAATGTTAAGGGGGGGGTATGGTATAACAGGCGAAAAAAGAGCACTTTTTAAACAATTTTTTTTTAGGAAACTACTAAATATTTTTCAATTCTTTTTATTTTTACATTATCTAGTAACTTTTGAAGTATTTTTAAGAATTTAAAAATATATATATATCCAGAAATAACGGAGTTGCTGCTGCTTCAGTCAGGCCATGTCAAGAGTTCATCCTTTTACGGTGCCCCGGATTAAAAATCGTAGAATCATCTGAAACACATGGGATTAAAAAAAATTAGTTATTTAGAAGTATACCAGCCAGCCAACAATGCCCTTTCATTAAAAAAAATTTTTTAAATTTTTTTTACGGGCGGTTAAGGTAAAAGTACGTTTTTTAGCCTAAAAGAGGCGCCATTTTGTCGTTGTACAATCGATTAGAAGCAAAAAATAAATAAAAGGGGATCGTTGGCTGGTAGTCAAATATATATTTAATGAAGTGTATTAAACTTCAAACCGATCGGTGCAGAATTTTTTGAGTTATCGTGGGCACCGTCTTCAAAAAAGTCGTTTTGAGAAAAACGCGTTTAAAGTTTGTAGTAAGGAAATTTGAAGAATAAAAATTGTTTCATGGCACTTACATAGAGTCGTCGATGCCAGCACCATAAAGCAATGTTCCTGCTGCATCTGCGAGATCTAAAGCATCTTTTTGCTCCATTCTTCTCAGAATTCTAGCTTCTTTTGTCTGAAGCGCAGCCTTTTCTTCAGCTTTCAAAATTCGAGATTCGTCGAATGTTTTTACATATTCATGAGCACTTGGGCCGACGTTGATTTTCATCTCTTCAAGAAATGCTAGCAATGCAATATAACCTTCATTGAAGGTGCAAGCAGCTGCATTTGCTGCAATTTCTATTATCGTAGGGCTGCTGGCTAAAACTTTTGGGCTAATTCTCCAAATAAGTTGATTAAGGCTTTCATTGTTGTTCTGGGTAAATCCACCAAGACAACGTTGTAGAAGCTCGTCTTTGCTCAAATCTTCATAAATTGGCTCGATTGCTGTTATCACCTCATCCGGAAAAGGTTCATAGCTGTGGTGAAAATCTTCTATTCCAGTGGTGGCCAAAGCTTTTTGATATTCGCACCAAGACTCAGCGCCGGCAGGACATTTATGATGCTGTGGATCGTCGTTCGTGGACTTGTAATGAAGAAAGGTCGCCCAAATCGCATCATTAATTTTTTTCACCGAATCACAATTTCTTCTGATTGCTAAGCCATAATATACCGTTAATTTGTCTATTGTTTTTCCAGTAAGTTTTCCTGTTCCGCCGAGACTTTTGCTCCTTCTTTTTTGACCAGCTTTTTTTCCTGTTTTTATTTCCTTCTCTACTGTTGTGTTTTTAACAACATCACGTAATCGTTTGCCCATTCTTTTTTGAACGTGGCCGACACATTCTTTTTTATGTATTATAAAATATTCGCCGTGGGGTTGAGATTGAACTACGCCGGTGTACGTCTTGCTATCTCCGTCTCCGACATAATATTTATACGTGACGCCGTACTTTTCTTCCGATCGTTGGAACATTTCTTTTATTGCTGAAACTTCCATATTTCCTGCAGGTCCCTCGTGATTTGCTTCACATTCACCAAGTTCTACGTGATTCTCGTGCCATTTTTTGAATTCCACTGAATTTAATTTTGTATCCCAAATTTTACACGTTTGACAGACCCCACTTTTCACGCAAATATCTATCACTTTTCCCGTGTAATATCCAATTAACGAAGAAACACCGTACAATGACGAAAAACCTCGCTTTTGCCACGTGCCATCACCGGAAACAGTCAAATTTTCAGTATTTTCTATTTCTTGTGCTTCGCACGTTTCTTCTTTTTCTTGTGCAGCAGCCATGGAATACAGTGATTTTGCGACGGATTCTATTTGATCACACATGTTTTTTAAATAAAAACAAGGAAGAACGCTATAGTCGAGTACCTCGACTATCAGATACCCGTTACTCAGCTAAATAGAGATATGCAAGTAGCAAAGCGAGATTAAAATGCGCCACCTACCGGCGGTATACAGATTTAAGCGTTATGGGCGTTAGAGTGGGCGTGTCAAATTTTTTTTTTGATCAATCGATAGGTAATGACGAGACGAATACATTTCAGTTAAAATTTTTTATCTAGCATAAAAATTGTGGGCGTCACAGGTTTTCGCGGTTTGTGGGCGTTTAAGTGGGCGTGGCAAACTTTTTTTTACGTCAATCGATAGGTATTGATGAGAACAACACATTTCAGTTAAAAGCTATCTGGCATCAAAACTGTAGGAGTTACAGTTTTGGGCGGTTTGTGGGCGTTAGAGTGGGCGTGGCAGTCTACTGAAACAAACTTGCGTATAACAGGCGAAAAAAGAGCACTTTTAAAACAATTTTTTTTTAGGAAACTACTAAATATTTTTTAATTCTTTTTATTTTTACATTATCTAGTAACTATTGAAGTATTTTTAAGAATTTAAAAATATATATATATCCAGAAATAACGGAGTTGCTGCTGCTTCAGTCAGGCCATGTCAAGAGTTCATCCTTTTACGGTGCCCCGGATTAAAAATCGTAGAATCATCTGAAACACATGGGATTAAAAAAAATTAGTTATTTAGAAGTATACCTGCCAGCCAACGATGCCCTTTCAATAAAAAAATTTTTTTTAATTTTTTTACGGGCGGTTAAGGTAAAAGTACGTTTTTTAGCCTAAAAAAGGCGCCATTTTGTCGTTGTACAATCGATTAGAAGCAAAAAATAAATAAAAGGGGATCGTTGGCAGTTGGTAGTCAAATATATATTTAATGAAGTGTATTAAACTTCAAACCGATCGGTGCAGAATTTTTTGAGTTATCGTGGGCACCGTCTTCAAAAAAGTCGTTTTGAGAAAAACGCGTTTAAAGTTTGTAGTAAGGAAATTTGAAGAATAAAAATTGTTTCATGGCACTTACATAGAGTCGTCGATGCCAGCACCATAAAGCAATGTTCCTGCTGCATCTGCGAGATCTAAAGCATCTTTTTGCTCCATTCTTCTCAGAATTCTAGCTTCTTTTGTCTGAAGCGCAGCCTTTTCTTCAGCTTTCAAAATTCGAGATTCGTCGAATGTTTTTACATATTCATGAGCACTTGGGCCGACGTTGATTTTCATCTCTTCAAGAAATGCTAGCAATGCAATATAACCTTCATTGAAGGTGCAAGCAGCTGCATTTGCTGCAATTTCTATTATCGTAGGGCTGCTGGCTAAAACTTTTGGACTAGTTCTCCAAATAAGTTGATTAAGGCTTTCATTGTTGTTCTGGGTAAATCCACCAAGACAACGTTGTAGAAGCTCGTCTTTGCTCAAATCTTCATAAATTGGCTCGATTGCTGTTATCACCTCATCCGGAAAAGGTTCATAGCTGTGGTGAAAATCTTCTATTCCAGTGGTGGCCAAAGCTTTTTGATATTCGGACCAAGACTCAGCGCCGGCAGGACATTTATGATGCTGTGGATCGTCGTTCGTGGACTTGTAATGAAGAAAGGTCGCCCAAATCGCATCATTCATTTTTTTCACCGAATCACAATTTCTTCTGATTGCTAAGCCATAATATACCGTTAATTTGTCTATTGTTTTTCCAGTAAGTTTTCCTTTTCCGCCGAGACTTTTGCTCCTTCTTTTTTAACCAGCTTTTTTTCCTGTTTTTATTTCCTTCTCTACTGTTGTGTTTTTAACAACATCACGTAATCGTTTGCCCATTCTTTTTTGAACGTGGCCGACACATTCTTTTTTACAAGGGAGAACGCTATAGTCGAGTACCTCGACTATCAGATACCCGTTACTCAGCTAAATGGAGATATGCAAGCAGCAAAGCGAGATTAAAATGCGCCACCTACCGGCGGTATACAGATTTAAGCGTTATGGGCGTTAGAGTGGGCGTGGGCGTTTTTTTTTGGATCAATCGATAGGTATTGACGAGACCAATACATTTCAGTTAAAATTTTTTATCTAGCATGAAAATTGTGGGCGTCACAGGGTTTTGCGGTTTGTGGGCGTTAAAGTGGGCGTGGCAAACTTTTTTTCGGGTCGATAGGTATTGATGAGAACATTACATTTCAGTTAAAATTTTCTATCTAGCATCAAAACTGTAGGAGCCACAGTTTTGGGCGGTTTGTGGGCGTTAGAGTGGGCGTGGCAGTCTACTGAAACAAACTTGCGCTGCGTAGGAAGCTCAGGAATCTGCACGCCAAATCTCAATAGCCTAGCTCCCATAGTTTCCGAGATCTCAGCGTTCATCCGGACAGACGGACAGACGGACAGACGGACATGGCTAGATCGACTCGGGTAGTGATCCTGATCAAGAATATATATACTTTATGGGGTCGGAAACGCTTCCTTCTGCCTGTTACATACTTTCCGACGAATCTAGTATACCCTTTTACTCTACGAGTAACGGGTATAATTATACACTGCTTTACTTACAAAATTACTTGATATATCCATCAATCCGCAAAATTTATTGCAGCCTGCCAAGCCTAAGCCTAACATACGCATAACGAAAGCAAATCTATAATTTACCTCGTACATACGGCCTATTCTTTCACTTGACGGAATATACACAGGCATTTTGCAGTTGACACATTTTACTTGAATGTTAAGGGGGGGGTATGGTATAAAAGGCGAAAAAAGAGCACTTTTTAAACAATTTTTTTTTAGGAAACTACTAAATATTTTTCTATTCTTTTTATTTTTACATTATCTAGTAACTTTTGAAGTATTTTTAAGAATTTAAAAATATATATATATCCAGAAATAACGGAGTTGCTGCTGCTTCAGTCAGGCCATGTCAAGAGTTCATCCTTTTACGGTGCCCCGGATTAAAAATCGTAGAATCATCTGAAACACATGGGATTAAAAAAAATTAGTTATTTAGAAGTATACCAGCCAGCCAACAATGCCCTTTCATTAAAAAAAATTTTTTAAATTTTTTTTACGGGCGGTTAAGGTAAAAGTACGTTTTTTAGCCTAAAAAAGGCGCCGTTTTGTCGTTGTACAATCGATTAGAAGCAAAAAACAAGGAAGAACGCTATAGTCGAGTACCTCGACTATCAGATACCCGTTACTCAGCTAAATGGAGATATGCAAGCAGCAAAGCGAGATTAAAATGCGCCACCTACCGGCGGTAGACAGATTTAAGCGTTATGGGCGTTAGAGTGGGCGTGGCAAATTTATTTTTGGATAAATCGATAGGTATTGACGATACCAATACATTTCAGTTAAAATTTTTTATGTAGCATGCAAATTGTGGGCGTCACAGGTTTTCGCGGTTTGTGGGCGTTTAAGTGGGCGTGGCAAACTTTTTTTAGGTCAATCGATAGGTATTGACGGGAACAATATATTTCAGTTAAAATTTTTTATCTAGCATCAAAACTGTTGGAGTTACAGTTTTGGGCGGTTTGTGGGCGTTAGAGTGGGCGTGGCAGTCTACTGAAACAAACTTGCGCTGCGTAAGAAGCTCAGGAATCTGTACGCCAAATCTCAATAGCCTAGCTCTCATAGTTTCCGAGATCTCAGCGTTCATCCGGACAGACAGACGGACAGACGGACAGACGGACAGACGGACAGACGGACATGGCTAGATCGACTCGGCTAGTGATCCTGATCAAGAATATATATACTTTATGGGGTCGGAAACGCTTCCTTCTGCCTGTTACATACTTTCCGACGAATCTAGTATACCCTTTTACTCTACGAGTAACGGGTATAATAAATAAAAGGGGATCGTTGGCTGGTAGTCAAATATATATTTAATGAAGTGTATTAAACTTCAAACCGATCGGTGCAGAATTTTTTGAGTTATCGTGGGCACCGTCTTCAAAAAAGTCGTTTTGAGAAAAACGCGTTTAAAGTTTGTAGTAAGGAAATTTGAAGAATAAAAATTGTTTCATGGCACTTACATAGAGTCGTCGATGCCAGCACCATAAAGCAATGTTCCTGCTGCATCTGCGAGATCTAAAGCATCTTTTTGCTCCATTCTTCTCAGAATTCTAGCTTCTTTTGTCTGAAGCGCAGCCTTTTCTTCAGCTTTCAAAATTCGAGATTCGTCGAATGTTTTTACATATTCATGAACACTTGGGCCGACGTTGATTTTCATCTCTTCAAGAAATGCTAGCAATGCAATATAACCTTCATTGAAGGTGCAAGCAGCTGCATTTGCTGCAATTTCTATTATCGTAGTGCTGCTGGCTAAAACTTTTGGACTAATTCTCCAAATAAGTTGATTAAGGCTTTCATTGTTGTTCTGGGTAAATCCACCAAGACAACGTTGTAGAAGCTCGTCTTTGCTCAAATCTTCATAAATTGGCTCGATTGCTGTTATCACCTCATCCGGAAAAGGTTCATAGCTGTGGTGAAAATCTTCTATTCCAGTGGTGGCCAAAGCTTTTTGATATTCGCACCAAGACTCAGCGCCGGCAGGACATTTATGATGCTGTGGATCGTCGTTCGTGGACTTGTAATGAAGAAAGGTCGCCCAAATCGCATCATTCATTTTTTTCACCGAATCACAATTTCTTCTGATTGCTAAGCCATAATATACCGTTAACACCAGTTTACAAAAAAAAATTGATGAAATACGCCTTTCAGGAAACCTTTGTTTTCCGGTAAGATACATCTCCCTGATTAAGAAAAGGGCACTTAAAATTTTTTCTATGGTACCAATTTTTTTTAAAGTGTAAAAAACGTTTTTTGCACTTTTTTATTTTATAACTTGAGTTGTGATATAATATATTATATATATATCCCAAAGAGGCAGTGCACGGGATCAGAAGTGCGAGGAAGTGTGTCCCTGTTCGGGCGCCATTCTGTAAAGAAGTCTCGTAGGCTGGGATATACTCAGTCCCGCCAGGGTCTCTTTACCGAAAATATTTGTAAAGATATGGGACAAAAAGGTCTAAGACGAAAATCGGTTGGCTGGCGTGAGATGTAGAGTGCCAGCCACCGGGGTACGGAGTGAGAGAAACAGTTTATTCGGTGTCTGTAGCAGAGTGAAAAGCGTCAGCGGTAACGCGCATTTGGGCCTGGCTCATAGCATTCGCTACGAGAAGGCCGAGAGAGAGAGGATCGATTATGAGGACAACTTTTCCCTAGGGCAGAATTTATGGCCTAAAATCTAGGCGTTTGTCTGGAAATATTCATATTTATGCGTGGCCAGCTTGATTGGATTTTTTTAATATCTGAGAAATATTTTTATTTAATTAATGAACAACAGGTTTCCAAAAGTTGGGTCCAAATCTCCTGTACCATGACGCGATCCCTAGACATCTCCTCAACTCCTTGCATGTGGTGGGCGGACTCAGTCGCCGTACTGCCGAAATCTTGTCGGGATCCGTGTGAATTCCCTCCTCACTGATGACGTGTCCCAAGTACACCAGGCTGCGCTTAAAGAAACTGCATTTCTTCGCGTTGAGACGAGGTTCGCCTTTCGTAGCCGTCAAAATACTTCTTGTAGATGCTGCACATGCTCCTCCAGGGTGCGGCCGATGATGATGATGTCATCCAAATACGCAAACGCGTTGGGCTCCATGTCCGGTCCTATGACGCTGTCGAGCGCCCGCTGGAATGTGGCTGGTGCTGAGTGGAGGCCAAACGGCATCACTTTCCAGTGATACAAGCCCCTCCCGGGGACTGTAAATGCTGTGCACTCGCGGCTGGACTCGGCTACAGGGATTTGCCAATATCCGCTCTTCAAATCGAGCGTCGATATTTACTTGGCATGGCGCAGACGTTCCAAGATGTGTGTTATCCTTGGCAGCGGGTATGCATCTGGAATAGAATGGGCATTTAGTTGTCGAAAATCTACACATAGTCGCATCTCTCCAGATTTCTTGCCCACGAGTAAAATAGGGGTGCTGTGGGGGCTCCGTGAAGGCTCTATACAGTCGTTGCGTAGCAGTTCGTCGATCTGCTCATCGATAATCCTCTGCATCGCGGTATTCTAAAATACTGCTTGTCGGGGTGGTTTGCACCTCGTTATCTTGATCGTTGTTTGCTGGAGTGAACGCATTTGTCAAGAGAGGAGGCATAGCTAAGTCGTTAGTGGGGCTGCTTATTAGGAGAGGGTTCAGCTGCAGCGAAGCGCGGCCGCATTGGAGAGTGGCAGACACGCCACAGAGGAAGTCCATGCCCAATAGCACGTCTTCCATGATCGAAGGGAAAACTAGCAGTGGAAAGGTGACCCAACGTTGGTCCAACCGGACTTTGGCTACCAGAGACTTGGTTATCTCCTTGCGTGAGCCTTCCGCCAGGCTGACATGAGTGTGTACCGACCGTACGTTATGTGGCGTCCCTACACGTTGAACAACTCGTTCGCTCACGAAGCTTCTGCTAGCTCCGGTGTCTATGGTAGCGTTAAACTCCTGACCCTCGATTTGCACCTGCGCGATAATTCTGCTCGACTGAATTTGTAAGATTTCTCCTAATTCCGGGGATTCCTGTAGGCAGTCTCCGTCCGCTCCCCGAGGGGGCGAAGACTCCTCTCGTTTCCCGGCTGGGTACGACGGCAACACTCGAGAGTGCGTACTCCTCTGCGACCACAATCCCAACAAAAGAGGACTCTGGGATTGCGACATGTAGCTGAACGGTGACCCTCCTGGGCACAATTCCTGCAAGCAAGACTGAAATTCGGCACCATTGACCTGTTCCCTACTCGAGGAACTGATTGTAAAACTGTGGCTGGGGTGGGTGGTCGTCTGGCCGGTCGTGTGAAATTCTGTTGACCTATTGGTGATGCTCCTGCATACGCTGGGATCTCGTACTCGTTCCTTCTAGGCGCTGGTTGTGGTTCGGCCAACATTCTGGCATGGCTTCCTGTGCTCCGATCGCGGGTGACCTCGTAGTTTACCGCTAAAGTGGTAAGTTGCTCCAAAGTGGTGAAGTCGTGCCTCCTTGCGTACATCTGATACTCCGGTTGGAGATTTTCATAGATCCGGTCCAACTCCTGCTCCGCATTATACCCCGCTCTGTGCATCATGAGTCTGATGTTGACTAGGTATTGTTTGAAAGTCTCTCCCCGTCGCTGATCTCTGGTGCGGATCTCATCCTCGAGTCGCTGAAAGTACCTGGGTGGCAGAAAGAAGTCAAGAAACGCCTTCTTGAAGTTCGTCCAAGATTTTCCTAGCAGCTGGCTTGTCCGAAACCAGTGCTCAGCTGTATCCGTCAAAAGACCAGGGATGGCCTGCGTCATCTTCTCCACGTCAACTTCGTATGCGGTGGCTCGTTCCCCGAGGTGTTGGATGAAGGTTATGGGGTCCGTGGTCCCGTCAAAAGTGATTCCCCAATTCTTCAGCTTTTCCGCTAGCGTGGCTGCGGACATCTCTGATTTCCTGGGAAAAATATCCCGCTTGACCGGATGGATCTCCGTGTCTCCGACTACATCAGCGGCACCTCTGCCTTCCAGTGCTGGCACCTGAAGCTGTGTTGGACCCGGTGGGTGTGGGTTCGGAGTCGGTGAACGCTGCTTCCTATCCGTTAGGGCGGCTGTAATTTCCACCTCGCATCCCTGTAGCCGCTCGGCTATCTCCAGCACGTGGTCGTCCCGATTATTAAAAGCAGCCAGCCGGCTCCTCATTTCCTCAACTGTTCCGGTTGCTTCCAAGGAAAACTCCTTCAGAATCGCCTCCAATTCCCGCTTTCGGAGATACGAAATCCAACGCGCCCCCATATTGCTGTGAAATAATAGTTAACTGGCAAACAACAGGAAAAGTTTCGATAGGACGAGAGAAATTCTTGGACGAGGATCAAACGATGTTCGAACTGGTTAAATCTTCATTGAAAATTTTATTTTATTTGTCACCAAGAATTCACTGCACGTGAGAACGATGGTGACCACAATCCGATGTCAAACGACGATTTAATTCCTAAATTTCCTCGACGGTGATTGAATTTTGTTCGACGACGATGTAGTTTTAAATTTTTCCACGACGATATTCTTGAGAGCTGCCGATGCACGTGTTGACTCGGCGATGGTTATCTGAGAAGCCCCCAACGATGTGATCCCGTTGCCTGTACTTGATCGACTCCTGCTCGTGTGAGAGGGACGACGATGAGAGTGAAAACAAAAAAAAAACAAAATGGCTGCGCCGTCTCGCTCTCACGCACACACACACGCGTGACTCCGGGTGCTCCGCCGCTGGTCCTGGGCCGGCACACTCTCCTCGAGGTCGTCTAGGTAAACTCCTTCCTGGGTCACTTGGCATCAGCCCGAAGGCAAAAGATTTCCTGTTGTCCACACAAATTTGCTCTGCTCGCACTTCTGATCCCGTGCGCCGCGTTTTCCAAAAAGTCCCCTCCTCGCACTTCTGGTCCGGTGCGCTGCCTTTGCAAAAGTCACCTACTCGCACGTCTGGTCCGGTGCGCTGCGTTTTTCCAAAAAGAAGAGACCTGTTTCTGCTCCCGTGCACCGCCTTTGCAAAATCACTTCTTATTCCGCGCACCGCCTTTTCCAAAAGAGAGCTAGTCAAGCTTTGCCGCCGCGTTTTGTTCAAGTTTTCGGCTGCTCTGGGTTTTTTCCACTTGTCGAAGTTTCGGTACTCCTTTTCTCTCGCTCTTCCCTTGGCGCGTGCCAATTTTCGGGGGTTGTTTTCCTCCTCGATCGCACGTCCTCTCTCGCTTGCTCCTGTGCGGCGCTGCACTTATCGTGGTGAATATTTCGTTGCTCTCCTGGTGTGTGTGTGTGGCTACTGCTGATGCGAGAGCGGAGGGGGAAAGCTTAGCTTAAGATAATTCTTGGGTACTAATATAACTACAAATCTTACAATTATTGGTTAAGCTTACATATTAAGTGAACTGTACAAAGTTTTTACAAAGTTATGCGCGAGGGTTTTGTTTTGTTGTTAGCTGCTATTGTTGTTGTCGCTGGCTGCTGAGGTTGCTGGCGCTGGCGATGTTGTAACTGCTGGCTGGCGACGTTGTTGGCGCTAACTGGCGTTGTTGTTGGCGCTGGCGACCGATGTTGTTGGCGCTGTCGATGTTGTAGATGCTAGCTGGCGTTGTTGTTGGCGCTGGCGGCCGATGTTGTTGTCGCTGGCTGCCGATGTTGGGGGCGCTATTTGTGTTAGATGCTAGCTGGCGTTGTTGTTGGCGCTGGCGGCCGATGTTGTTGTCGCTGGCTGCCGATGTTGGGGGCGCTATTTGTGAGGGGTCAAACGACTCCTCACATCCCCCTCCTACTTCGGGGGGCGTTGAGAAATGTGGGTGGCCGTGGCTTGCGTGTTGTCATGCGCCACAGGTGGGACGGGTTGTCCGACGCCATGTCTGTAGGGGAGAACAAAAGGGTATTAGTGTTTCGTTTTAACGATTACTAACTGGGTTTTAATTGTTTAGTTAGTAATCATGGGGAAAATGGTTCGCTGCAGTGGCACTGGGAGCGTTGAGTTCCCACTAGGGGAAGTGGGACGTTGGGAAGGCGCACCCTCCAGCAAGTGGCCCCACTGACTCAAACATTGGCTCCTGTCGCAGTGTTCTTGGTTGGCTCTCGCCTCGGCCAGATCGAGTGTTACTCGCCGGCTTGTTTGTGGCAAGTTCGTTGCTATTG